TGTATCTTGTTCCCCTGGTTCATTCCTTTCTCACTGTTTCTTGGCTGTCTTTAAGTGTAGTAGTTTTCCTTCACTGTGCCCTTTTGTTGCAATGCTCTGCCTCGCCACAAGCATAGAGCTAAGGAACTGGCCCACCATGGACTGAACCTCTGAAATCGTGAGCTCAAATAAACCTTACCTCCTCTAAGTGGTTATTTTTTTTTTAATTCTAACTAGTTATATGTGACTTTGACACATCATACATAAATGAAATATAACTTCTCATTCTTCCAGTTGTTCATTCTTCAGGTTGTACACCAGTCATGTAGTTATATATGTACATGGGGTAATAATGTCTGATTCATTTTACTATCCTTCCTACCCCCATACTCCCTCACCTCCCTTCACTCCCTTCTGCCTAATCTGAAATAACTCTTTAAGTTGTTCTTATCAGATATTTTGGTCACTGTGACAAAAAGCTGGCCAACACAAGTGGAACTTTGGAAAAGAATGGAAATTTATGGGAGTTCCCCTACCAAAGGGTTATTGGTAGAATGCATGTCAATCTAGTATGAGTTCCAGTTTGACATCTGAGGGGCATGCGGTGGAGAACTGAAGGAAGAGTGGGAATGAAGGTGGAATTAGGTTCCCAAGAGAAGGAGGCCAGTCATGGGGTGCTCTCTTCTCTCACCACAGGGCCAACAGTTACAAATAACAAAATTCCACTGAGATAGAAGAAACTCTTAGCTGAGAATTATAGATAGGGTCCAAGCTGAGAGATCTGGCAGAAACCCCTCTTCTGAGATATGAACTTATTTAAAACAATAGCAAGAATTTTATTAATGAGTTAAAGGACTTCAGCAATATATTCTTTCCCTCCAGTTCAATTTATTTCTGTCTTTTTCTCAAGAGGGGAGTATCTTCAATATCTGGCTACTATGCACTGAAAAAGTTTATTTTGACTCATGGTTTCTGGAGGTTGGGCAGTCTAAGATCAGGTGACCATATCTGATGATGGCCTCATTCTACATAAACCTATGAAGAAAAAAACAGCAGTTTAAGTAGAAGCATATAAAAGAAAAGTACTTATGTATGAAACGGGGGGGTATCAGGCTCATTTTATAACAACCCACTTGTTATGGTTTGGATATGAGGTATTGTCTGCCAAAAGTTCCTGTATTGTTGCAGAAATGTTTAGAGGTGAAATGATTGTACTGTGATTGCCGTAAGTCCATCCAAATTTGGACTGAGTGGTAACCATAGGCTGGTGGGTGTGCATCTTTCCTGTGGCCCCTTTTCTACTCCTCTGCTTCCTGGTTGCCATGTTCTGAACTGCTTTCCTCCTTGACACCCTTCCACTATTACATTCTGTCTCACCTAAGGTCCACGGACTATGGACTGAACTTCTGAAACCATGAGCCAAAATAAATTTTTCTTCCTCTTTTCAGGACTTTTGGTCACAGCCACACAAAGCTGACTGAAACACCACTCTCATGCAAATATGTCACTCTAACAAGAACGAATCCAATCTCTTGAGAAAGACATTAGTCCTCCTGTGAGGATGGCAATCCTATGATCCAATCACCCCCTGAAAGCCCACCTTCAAACATTGCTACATGGGCAACAGAATTTCAAAATGTGTTTCAGGAAGGACAGGCCATATCCAAACTATAGCAAGGAATAAATGCTGAGGATTTTTTTTCATGAGCATACATATGTGTACTTATAGTCTTGACTGGCTTGTCTCCCTTACATGAGTAAAGATAGCACTTGTAATTTCAAAATATTTCCCACTTGTGTCTTTACTTCACATTGTTTGAGTTGTGAATGATGAGGTCTGGTCATTTTTGGTTTTATTCTATCCCTGAGGAAATAAGCTACAGTTTTTGGAGTTGGATAAAAAATAATTGCCATCTGAATACCTATCTTTCTTCTGTTCTGGCAACCAGAGCCTGTCCTAACTTTTTAGAAGCCACCAGGGTCTTTTTTTTTTTTTTTTTTTTTGTATTAGGGATTTAACCCAGGGGAGTTTTACCACTGAGCTACATCCCCAGCTCTCCCCTTTTTTATTTTTATTTTTTAAATTTTGAGACATGATCTCATTAAGTTGCTGAGGCTGGCCTTCAACTTGCAATCTTCCTGTCTCCGCCTCCCAAGTCACTGGGACTATAGGTGTGCTCCACCAGGCCCTGCAACAGGCTCTGTCTTGAAAGAGCCTCAAAGAGTATCTTGGAGTCATTTAGGACTGAACGTCTTCTGCCCGTGGATGGAGAAGTAGACTTGACCAGTGGTGTGGGTGAATTAACAGTTTTCTAAAATTACACATGTGTGGAGAAAAGCAGAAGATGAATTGGGTGTGTACGAAAGAAAAGCATGTTCTTTCTACATGTAGATAATCAGAAACTGACAGTGGTAGCTGATGCCAAATCAGAAGCTCTCCCTGTTATTAACAGGATTACAGAACTGGACTCTGTTCCTAGCAACTCTCTTCCCTTTGTAACTGTCCTATGAGTTATATTGTCTTTTGCTATCTCCTCTTTAATGTGTCTTGTTGGCAGTAGGAAGTACTTGCCAATACTACCTGTGTGCCTAATCATACTTTCTGCTCTCTTGGGAAACATATTTATTTCTTCTCTTCCTTCTTTATTTAGCTTCTCCCTCTCAATAGAGTATTCCCAGCAGATGTAAAATATGCTCCTGTCTGTCTCTCTTCACTGCCCGGCTTATCCATATCCACCACCTCTACTTTCTCATCTCCCACTTGTTCTTTGGTCCTCTCTAATCCACTTCTGGTTCTCATACTTCAGGATTTCAATCCTCCAATTATAGTTAATAGTACTGATCACTCTCTTTAACCTGAATCCCTCTTTCTTGGTTTTTCTTCTACTTCTCCCAGCAGCTCTGTTACTTGATCATCTTGCTCCTTGTGGCCATTTGATGTTGAAGTTCAGGCTGCCTCCATATCATCTTTTCTTCTTGCTCACTATCCTGTCCCTCAGACTTGGATTAATTCTCTGTACATTATTAATTTCCTATTTAACTGAGCTCCAGTTCTGTCCTTCAACCAATTTAGCATCTCTTTTGAGCATTTCAAAAATCTTTAAACAACCAAAGAAATTGCGCTTATGATTTTCCTACCTCAGCCTGGTCCTCTTCCAAGATTTCCATATTGATAAACCAGCACTGACATCCATTCTTGGCCAAAGACAGAAACCTATGAATTTTCCTTCATGACTCCCACTTCTCTGCTGCCTTACCTAAACCCATTGCTTGCAGAATATGCAAGTTCTTCACAGGGTCTTTTAAATGGTTTTCAGATTCTCTCCTTTACTATTTCTGTGATCATCATCTGAGACTAAGCCTCCACTTTTTGCCGTCTGTATCAATCCACCTGGCCTCCTTCCAATGACAAATCTTTTCAGGATGTCATTCTGATCATGCTACCCACTTTGCTGAACATGTCAATGTCTTCCCATTGCACTCGGGTAAAAAGATTTTTAATATGGGCCAGCATGGCTGTTCTAGGTTAGTTTCTTTTGTTCCTCAATTTTATCTCATGGATCGTTCTTCCTTCATCCTCTGGCAAAGTTGGTCTTGCCTCAATTTGTCCAACTTACCCTACTCTCTCTCATCAGAGGATCCCTTGAATGTGAAGTTACCTATGTCAGAATTATTCTCTGCCTGGTCAAATCTGTTCTCAACTCAAGGGCCATTTCCTCAGGGAAACATTTTCCAGATTTATTAATCATATCAATTAGTTTCATAATCCTATGTGTTATTATCAATTTGTATTATAACAGTGATAATTTTGTATTTTTACTGTTATTTTAATACAAGTGATTAAATCTGTAAGTTTATTGTACTGCCACACTCAAATATTGCCTGGCAGAGAATGGGCATGTGATATTTATTGAAGAAATAAAGGAAGGAAGGAAGGAAATAAAGGCTGTGAGGAAGGGAAGAAATGGAGAGCGAATGCTTACACATGTTCTATTTCAGGATCACTAGAAACAGACCAGCCCAACATGTAATATTTATATATTGTTAAAGTAACTTATCTCTTATTATGAACATAACTATTCCTTTGGGAAACCACAAGAAAATACCCAAAGTATAAGAGCGAAACAAATAGCCCTTCTCCAAAGATGAATCACTGTTAAAATAATTTGGCATATTTCTTTCCAGTCTTTTCTATGTATATACTGTGTGAGTGTGTGTGTGTGTGTAGTTCATAAGTGGGAGCAATCTATATATACTCAGTTCTTTCTCTTAATGATATACCGTGAACAGTTTCCCTTGGTAAGAACTCCTTGAACACATGGCGTTTAAAGTACTAAAATGTATTATATTGCCGGGATGATAGTAATTTAAATGCCTTTCTACCCATTGTTGGATATTTAGGGGTTTGCCAACTTATCACTTCTAGAACTTAACATTTGCTGGCATTCTACGGTCTCAGAGGTAAATTAGGTAATACCAAGAATCTTGGAAGAGGTGGATTACGGAAAATCAGGAGGTGGCTTTTTCTAGGACGATGTCCAGCACATTTTATTTGTTGGTAGATGGCTGAACCACGGGACAGGTGTCCTCATAATGGAACATATTATCGTTCAAGGTAACAAACTCTTCCTGTCTCAGGTGTGTGCCCAGACAGGTGTGTCTGCTCACCGGGCGGGTTTGGCCTAAGTCACCTCACCCTCAAACCCTGCTGCCAGGCGCCCTGGAGGATTAGGCTGTGACTAGTAGACCGCCCGGAGCCAGATGCGTTGTCTGGGGCACACGCCGCCACGTGCCAGCTCCGGGCCCGCCCCTCCCGCTCCCGGCCCGCCCCTAACCAGCCTCTCGTGCAGGCTCTCCCAGTAGCTCAGGCTCCAAGCGAACTCCGCCAACTCCTTCTGGTCCGCTAGTGTAGTCACGCCTACTAGCTACGGGCCCCGCCCCCGCAATCCGGGCCCTGGGGCTGCCCCGCCCCCCGGGCCGCTCAGAGGCGGGGGGGTGGGGCTCTGCGCGATGACGTGGGCGGGCGTGCGCAGTGACGGCTCGCGTCCCTGTTACTCAGCGGAGCGGCCAAGGCCGGACGACGCGGCCCGGAGAGCGGAGCCGCGAGCAGCGCTGGGTAACGGCCGCGGCGAACGCCCGGACAGTGTCCGTCCTTTCTGGGGTCTTTACTATTGCGTTTTGCGGCGCTGCGGGGTAAGTGCGGCGGGCTCCGCAGGGCCGGAGTGCCCGGCGGCCCCCTGGTGTTTATGTTATTGTGCCGCCGCCGCCTTCTCAGTCGTGACCCCCTCCCGGGAGTGGGGGCGCGAGTGCGCGGCGGGCGGGGGCGGCGCGGGAACAATAGCTGCCCGGGAGGCGGGAGCCAGCAGAGGGGGCGTGGGCCCGCGGGACCCGGGCCGCCCGCCCGGCCTGCCGCCCAGAGCTCCGCCCGCCGGTCCTCGCGCGCCCTCCTCGCGCAGGTCCCGATTCCACGTCTGGAGGAGAAAATGGAGCGGGGGGGTGGATGGCAAGTTCTGAAACACTTCGGCGAAGGTCGGGACAGAGGCCCCTTCGCGGCCCGCCGCGCCCTGGCTGCTTCCTCGGGGGGCGGGGAACCGGGAGAGCTCGGGGTCTCCGGGCCCCCATTCCCGCCCGGCACCCACGGGATCATGTTTTGTTTCTCCGTGGTTTCTTTGTGCTAACGTCCTGGGCGAATGCAGGCAGCAATGCCGAAAAAAGGTTTGGGTGGGCTCCAGCTCTGGTCTGCAACAGAACCCGGCCGGTGGCTGGGGCGAGAGATGTGTTATCAGGCTCGCCCTGAGCTTCAGTGGTCTTCGCGCATTTATCTTGAGGGTCACTTAGTGTTGACCTTTTGACTTTTTCACCCCACCCTATCATCTCTTTGTCTTGGAACTTGAATTTTCTATCCAGAGATGGCCGAACCAAATCCATTTTAAAGTATTGTGACACATACTTTGCATTTTCATTTCCCAAAGTTCCTATCGGATCTTTATCGTGAATTTAATAACATGTTGACTACATGGTATCAGACAAAGTCCATTGGTTACTATTTTTACCACTGAAATTCAGTGATCTTACCGGTAGAATTTTAGTCTGTCAGCCCTTTGTGTTTTGAGATGAGTATCCAGCAAATACCTCCGTGGCAATTAGAACATCTGTTTATTTCATTCATTCATTCAGCAACTGTTCAGTACGATATACAGATGGAGCGGTCCGAAGGTAAAGGGAAATATCCTCGAATGGAAGAGAATACTTTGAATGAAATATAATAGATATACCTTTAAATGAGACAGTTTTTTAAGGGATGTATGTTAAGGAAGGGACAGTTATACTTTGGGTCATTTTACTGGTTTTATTTATTTTTAGCAGTGTATGTGGAATTTCAAGTGTAATTTTAGGTTTGTAAGCATAGTTATAGTTTGGTCAAAACGTACAACAGCTTTTATTTTTTAATTTTATTGTTTTCCAGACATTTATAATGGTTGCCCTACATTCCCTATTGTGACTAACGTTAAACCTAGGAAGTTGGGTACTATAAGTGAATATGTTTATTTTTAGTGAGTGCCAGACAAAATCGAGCAATCAAAGTGGGTCTTCCTTGAGGGCAGGTTTGTCTTATGTCTCTTTCTCCACCACCTAGCCAGGGATATAATAAATGCTCAAAGAGAGTTGGATGTTTGTGAAAAGCTCTTTATAATTGATAATATTTAAAATCAAGCCTTTAAAAAGTTGTGGAAGTTTCATACAAACTGTCAACTGATGGCTAAATAATCAGTTAATTCCATACATTATCTCTTAGGACAATAGGGGTTTGAATCATTTCAGTGTCTTTTATTTTTTCCTATCCCTTCAAGGCTGTTCGCTATCCTAAAATAAAATCTTGCCTAAATAGTTTGTTTTGTAGTATTGGGGATTGAACCCAGAGGTACTCTATCACTGAGCTATTTCCCTGGTCTTTTTTATTTTTCATTTTGTTTTGAGACAGGGTCTTGCTAAGATCCCAAACATGGCCTTGAACTTGTGTTTCCTTCCTCAGCTTTCTGAGTACCTGGGATTACAGGTGTGTTCACCCAACTGAATATTATTAATATGATTAATAAAGTAAGGTAGGTTGGGATGTGTATACATACAGTTACAGTTGAGTGTCCTAATCCGAAAATCCCAAATCCCCCCCCAAATCTGAAACACTTCTGGTCCCAAGCATTTATAGATAAATGATACTCAACGTACACATAGAGGTATTGGTTTAGGAATCTAAATGATTGTGTTAATCCCTTTGCGAATATTATTGGAAATAATATTACTGGAAAGTTTTTTGGGTGATTTTTAACTAGAAAATTAGAACAGAAGAATTTTATATTTTATTAGAAGCATTTAATTTCTAATATTTTAGAAACACTTATTGCTTTATTCTAATAACATTTCAGAAATACTTATTAGAAATTAAGTTTTAACTTATATTATTGGCAAAGCATATGACCTGAAACTCAAAATAATATCAGTTTATTCAAGTTATAGTGCATTTCCACCTATGCTTAATATGTTTTGGATGTTAATGTATTCAAGATGAACTTATTTGATGTAAGGTGGAAATGAAGAAATAAGAAAATGATAATTTTATTTTTAATAAGTATGCGCTGGAAATCTTGACATCATACTTTCATTGATTTACTAGTATGTTAGATTTCAGTAAGTGTTACTGATAAAAAAATCCTTAGGCAGTAGCTCACTGGCTATGCAAACTATTGTTTTCTGAATGCTGTTTTTAAAAAAATAACAGAATTATTGAGATTTATTTCACATACCGTAAAATTCACCATTTCGAGTGTACATTTCAGTGGTTTTTATTGTATTTACAAAGTTGTGTATTGATCATCACCAATTACAAAATGTTTTCATCAACCCAAGAAGAAATCCCATAACCGTTAGGGCTTACTCCATATTTCAGTCTAAATTATGTTTTAAAGGAAGATAGAGTACTGATCCTGTTCATAAATATATGAATAGAATTCTTTTAATGAATTTGAAAAGGTCTCTCTTTAAGTGTCTTGGCAAATAGGGAACTATATCCTTCAGACCCCTTTAGATCCAGAGGGAAATGCCACTTGGAAAGGAAATTAGCATAAGAATAGAATCTTAACTATTTGCTCCATGCCTGATATTATGGAAATGACTCTGAGGATACTGATGCTTAGTGAAAAAAATTAATTCACTATTCAATAACGAGTCACAAAATATACTGGTGATGATTATGAGGTTGTTGGACCTGCTTGTTGTTGATTTGCTTTACCAGTGGATTGAGTTTTGACATATTTGAGTCATCTACATGGTTGAGATGCTTTAAGTTCGTGTAGAAGAATAAAACAATGTCTAATGTGAAGATGCCAGTTCTCTAGAGGTCAGGTCAATGGTATGGTAGTAGCCTTTCTGATTCATGTAGCTCAAGGAAGTCATTATAACATGTAGCTTTAGATATGAATCATTTCATTATTTCAGAGATTTGTGATGCATATTGTCTTAGTCATGGACTCTTTACCTGAACATTTAGAAGCGTTGTATTCTTACTCTAATACAAGTTATCTTTGATTTCAGAAATTTTGTTTTGATTAAAGAAAATTTATTATCTAAAAGGCAACAGGAGTATTGAAATAAGAGTGGTTTTAGCATGCCAGATGCACATCTGCAATACCAGCTATTTGAAAGGCTGAGGCAGGAGGATGGGATGGCAAGTTCAAGGCTATCCTTGTCAATTTAGCCTATTGCAAAATGAATCATAATAATAATAAAATAAAAAGGACTGTAGCTCTCTGGTAGAACACTCCAGGTTAAGAGTCATCTTGTCATTCCGTAGTTGGAACTAAAGCAGTCCAGTAGTCAGACCTAGGTTTACTCTTGGATTTTGCCATGAACAAGCTCTGGAACACTGGGCAAGTTGTTTAACCTTCTTGGTTTTAAAACTGTAAACAAACTGTCAAAACTTTTTTATAGAAGGATTGTTCCCCAGATAGGTTGTTCTTCAGAAAATTTACAGAAAGGGACTTTCTTGGGTATTCATCAGGAGCTCCCGTAAAAAATAGCAAATAAGGGAACAGGAATATTACTAAGTGGTGGAATGCCTAACTAGCATATATGACATCCTGGGTTCTTAGCACTGCAAAACACAAAACAGCAAGCAAAATTACCCTTGAAATTTCAGAAGCAGGGAAAACTATTAATTTCCTTCTTTTTTTTTATTGTTGGTCGTTCAAAACATTACATAGTTCTTAATACATCATATTTCACAGTTTGATTCAAGTGGGTTATGAACTCCCAACTTTACCCCGTATACAGATTGCTGTATCACATCAGTTACCCTTCCATTGATTGACATATTGCCTTTCTAGTGTCTGATGTATTCTGCTGTCAGTTCTATTCTCTACTATCCCCCCTCCCCTCCCCTCCCTTCCCCTTTTAATTTCCTTCTTTAATATTACAGATTTATAAAATAAAAAGCTTCACCTTAAATTATATTTTTTAATGGTAGGTTTTATTTATCCTGCAGCATAATGCCTTTTGACAAGACTTGATGTTCTCAGAAACTTTGTAGAAGTTGGGAAAATGAAGATTTCACTAGCCCCAAGAAGCTTATGATTGAGGATGGTATTAAGGTGTATCTAAACAGTGAACTTATATTTTTTTAAAAGATGTATGAGAGATCTTTTCCAAACAGAAGTCTACTTCAAATCTCTGGGTAGGCCAAATTCCATTGAAACTGATTTTGAGAGAGAGAGAGAGAGAGAGAGAGAGAGAGAGAGAGAGAATATATGAATATGTGTGTGTGAGTGAGTGAGTGAGTGTGTGTGTGTGTTTTCGTAGGCCTTTTGGAAAACATTAGCTGACATTCTTTTTCAAGGTGGTGGGTTATGTCACAAATACAACAGATATCTCTATGTCCTACAACCCCTTTAGTAGTATATCAGAGTTATTTAAAATAGCAGGTTTTATAGAAAGTTAAAACCAGCCCAGACTTCACTTTATGTGATATAAGCAAGTTAAGATTATGTAACATTTGGGCCTGCTTTATTATCTGTCAAATGAGAACAATAATAGTACATAAACTCTTAGGACTGTGAGATTTAAATCAGGTACTGAATGTAAAGTGCCTGATTGGTAATATAAGCATTCAAGAAAGTTTAGTTTTTGTTTTCACTTATTAT